TTTATAAGAGTTCAAAACGCCGGGATTTTAAAAATCGAATTAAGGCGATAAAATAATTTAATTTAACAATAAACAATAGTTGCTGATAAAACAAACAAACGATCTCCTAATTCTTTCACTCCTAAATTAGCTTATTTAGTCCAAAATATAATAGTAGAGTCCCTAGTTAAAAGAGAGGGGCAAGATCTAAACTAGCATTACGATTTTAAGTTTGATATCTATTAAGTAATGAGTGCTCTTTTAATAAAAGTAGTAATCGGTGTAGTTACGATTAAGACTATAAGAGATGCATCTTAGAAGTACTAAAGTTCACACAACGTTGACCAAAAATTATCACAAACACATCTTAAATGTTGGCGCCATTGACATTTGCCGAGCCTGTCACTATCCTCTGTACTCGAAGCCGGACAGGAAGACTGGTGTAGAAATGAAATGTTGAACTTCTGCGTGTCGTCTGGTTAGTCAGGTAGCCGGGCCCCACTTTATTAAAATCTGCAACACTACGAGCGGGTCATGGTATTAGTTTTTTTTTATTATCAGCCGCGAACGATAATAACGTATAATACCAAACACCCTGATCCGGAACAATTGTATCTGTATAAAGTAACAGCCTATACATGTCCCACTGCTGGGCAAAGGCCTACACAATACAGAGGGTATCAGGGCATAGTCCATCACTCAGCCTCACTGCGGATTGGCGGACTTCACATATCTTCGAAAAATATTTTTTTTTGTTATTATTTCGAGAATATGCAGGTTTCCTCACGATGTTTTCCTTCACTGCCGAGCACGTGATAAGTCAGCACTTAAAGTCAAAAACTTCATTGGTGCCGGCACCGGGGATCGAACTCAGGTTGCTCGAGTATATACCATGTGGGAATCAAAAACCAAAATAAATAGATACGCCATGAGTTGGAATAAGTTATAAGATTATTTATGAGAAATTAGAGAATTGTTTATAATTTATTTATAAAATTTTATTGAAACACTCTTCTGAATGAAAAATAATTCCGAGAAGGATAGATATGTACATAGAGTAACTTTGCATATTTCATAATCCAAAAGAAAACAAAATTTTTGTAAGAGGAACATTATATAGACTCGAGATCCAAGGCAGCAATATAATTACTGAAGTTCTCGAACAAAGCTCTTTAATTCTCTCAAGAACTACAAGTTTCTCGAGCAATGTAAATGAAATTTCATTGTTTAATGCCCCCGAGTTTTTCACAGTTTCCTCCATTTCTCGCTGAAACTCGTCGATGATAAACTGATGCGAATGTCTTTACTACTGAATTGCAGCGATTTCTATTCCATAAAACAAATAAAGTTTTTAAGCAACTGTTGTCTAATCAATCTAATTATTGTGTACACTAGCTCTCGCCCAATGTCTATAAAATATATTTTTACCTGGAACACATTCACATGTATTCCACATTATTTTCTTTGTGTTTTCTGATTATGTTTTCGTTGGGTTGAAATGATGTCTAAAATACATAGATTAAATAGGTACTGTTGCCGCCGAGTTACGCACGGGGTGGCAGACGCGGGGGGAGCATGACGCGGACAGCGAGCGCGGCCGCAGCCTTCCCGCCAGACAGAAAACCGATACAACGCCGAGCGCGCGTGGAGTGTGCTAATATTTTTTATTGAAGTGAAACTTCTTTATCGGGGTTGGAAAAAAATTTAGTGTAACATTTTTGCGTTACGCGCCATCTTTTTCTTATCTTAAAATGTTCCTCTAACGCCATCTAGTGTTGAATAGGGGGTTTTATGTCGTCTTTATTCTTTAGTGGTTTTAATAGTTGACGCTAGATGGCGTTAGTCCCTTTGTATGTTCATAGCAATATATATATATATATGTTATATTAAAGTGATCAGCAAAATCAAAGGGTTTATTTTAATTCTAATTCTAAAATGTAAACAATATATTTCGTATTTCAGTTACCATAAGCCATTAATAACACAAATATGTAATAACGACATCAATGATAGTAATAATTCTATTACAATTAATGAAATTCAATAATAATCTTTGTAGTAATGACAGTGCTAGCTCTAATACTTCAGAGCACGACACTGTAGAGACTTCCTCTTCTCCAAAGGCGGCACCGCCCACCGCGACCTGACTGCTCTTTCCACCGAAGACACAATCTGAAGCTGCATGATGCTCTTTGAAACCTCGATCGGCTCCTGGAACTTGCGGTTGCGACGTCGATCCAACGTCCGCAAGTTCGGTTTTCCAAAAAAACTTCACTCACAACACTCGCGCGCGAGTCGAATGTCTGCCTTCTACTCACTGGCTGACTATTCGGCAACGAAGGACCATGTACAAATTCAAAGCGGTTGTATTTTGGGTCCGTGAGGTTCATTGAAATAAACAAGGTTCACGTTGCAAGTTTTTTTAATCAACAATTTTTGCGGACCCTCATACTAAGTACAACGGTCAAACCATAGTGTGTTTTAATTTACTACTAACGCCACCTATGTATTACAAATAAGAAACTAAATATTATACAAAGCTAAAATGAAATAATTGTAGAATTTTTATTTATGTCTATGATAATAAAAGCCTTTTATTAAACTTTATCTAATTTTACTTTATTTAACCAATTTCTGTAAAGTTGCATATAGTAAATTAGTGTCTTTAAAGTATTATAAATATAAGAATCTGCGCAGTTATTTGTACAGTGACGCGATGGCGGCCATCTTAGCGTCGCCTTATATTTCATTTGTTAATTTCTAGTATTTTACATTAATTCGTATCATAACTTTATTACTTTCTTACATTATGAGCAGCCATCTTAGCGTTGCCTTACATTTCAATTTTAATTTCTATTATTTCACATTGATTTGTGTCATAACTTTATTAATTGCTTACATTATGATTTAAAACGTATTAAACCTTTAATGAAAAGTAATTATTATGCTACTTTGCGTTTAAAATACGTAATTTGTTCTTAAATAAAACATGATTCTTTAAAACGTGTTTGTAAAACAAACTTGTTTCGTTTCATAATGTTCATAATGTAACATTATACGGCTTAGATCAACAAAATTGTTTTAAATTCTTTGCCGACTATTCCAGGTGCCCTAAAGTGTGAGAAGTGGACGGGTGAGAAAGCATAATACAAAAACACTTATCTACGTGTTTAGAAGTCTTGTAAACCTACAAATCTACATATACAAAGGTATTCTCCCGCATTGCTTGCTTCCGACCGTGCTTTAGAGGTATGAAATTGCTATTAATTTACTTACGTAAATGCTATATTTTATAATATAAATAAATAAACACATTTAATGCAAACTTGTTAATAATTAAGTCGCTTTAAAAAATCATTGCATTGCTTGCACTTTCAAAATGAGTGATTTAAGTGAACTTATTAATAATTAAGTCGCTTTTAAAAATCATTGCATTGTTTGCACTTTCAAAATGAGTGATTTAAGTGAACTTATTAATAATTAAGTCGCTTTTAAAAATCATTGCATTGTTTGCACTTTCAAAATGAGTGATTTAAGTGAACTTATTAATAATTAAGTCGCTTTTAAAAATCATTGCATTGTTTGCACTTTCAAAATGAGTGATTTAAGTGAACTTATTAAACAAAGAGGAGTAAAAAACTCGTTTGACATTATTCAAAAGATTCTTATTACCTTTAATTGAGAGGAATTTAAAAGAAATATCTTTTGCAGTTATAAACGAATTAACATTGCGTTTAGGTAAAATGCAAAGTGTTCTTAATGAATTTGATGAAATTCAAAATAGTATTGAACAGTTAGATAATTCTGAAAAACAAATAATTGAAAGAGAAACCACTGAAAATTAATTTTATAGTAGTTTTGGCCAAGCCCAAGAAATAATTGACAGGTGGAAATTGCCATAGAAGGATGAAGTTTCAAGTGCATCTAACAGTCATATCGGTTTTAATAAAATTAAACTTCCTCCATTGAAACTTCCTCCTTTTGATGGTTGCATTAATAGGTGGCTAGAATTTAGAGACATGTATGTGTCACTCATCCACAATAATGAGAGTATAGATACCATATCTAAATTCCATTATTTAAAGTCATATTTACAAAGTGAAGCGAGGGCTGGTATAGAATCAGTTTCTGTCTCTGCGGATACGTATGATATTGCTTGGTCTCTCTTGTGTGAGAGATATGATAACACACGCTTATTAATTAACCAACATTTAAAATGCCTTTTTAATATAGAATCTTTGTCAAAAGAGTCTGATAAGGGTTTGCGCAATTTAATTGATTCTATTTCTAAAAACTTACAAGCACTCTAAAACACTGGGTGAATGCACAGATAAATGGGATACGCCTATTATATATATGGCTTCAACTAAGCTTGACAATGCTACGGCTAGGAGATGGGAAGAATATAGGAATGATCTGAAGGATCACCCTAGTCTACAAGATTTTTATAAGTTTTTACGCAACAGGGCTGATGTCTTAGAAACCTGTCATTATACAAGGTCAGATATTAAAAATGAAAAACGTCAAAATATTCAAAGATATAAGTTATTTCTTGCTTCTGCATCCCAGGCTCCATCTGCTGAGTCAGCTAACAAACAGTGTTTATCCTGTAAGTAAAATCATAAATTATTTGAGTGTCCTATTTTTAAATCTCTTTCTGTCGATGACCGCTTTGAAAAAGTAAATTTGTGGAAAATATGTAAAAATTGTCTACGACCAGGTCACCTGAATTACCAGTGCCGTTTCAGTGGTTGTAGAATCTGTAGGAAAAAACACAGTACTCTTTTACACAAACAATTAAATACAAATACATCAAATAATGAAAATAATACTCAAGTTTCTCAGAATGTAGCTTCTACCAGGACATCAACTGTTCCTCCTGAACACTCAATTACAGCAAAAACTTCAATCACAATGTCAGCTGTGTCTTGTGAACAAGTTTTACTATCGACAGCACTTGTCGAAGTTACACATCAAGGTAATAAATATACTTTGCGTGCTTTATTAGACAACGGAAGTCAGTCATCATTTATATCTGAAAAGGCAAAACAAAAGATTAACTGCAATATTACCAATGCAAATCGCGCCGTATCAGGCATTAATAATGAATTATTAAAAATTAAGCGATATTGCAATCTTACAATCAATTCTTTATATAAGAAATTTTCAATGTCTTTAAGATTATATGTAGTTCCTGCTATTACAGACAAACTCCCAAACATGGAAATAAAATCACGCCTTGACATCCCTAAGGATTTAATCATGGCTGATCCTCAATTCAATCAGCCGTCAGAAATAGATATCTTGATAGGCTCAGACATCTTCTGGGACCTTATTGAATCTAAACGAATCAAATTAGGACAGTATAAACCTGTACTGACGGAGACAAAATTGGGACGGATTGTGGCTGGCCCAATTGGGGGAGCCACGGTAATACTTCAAGCTCACCAATGAGATGTCATTTCTCACAAGATATTAAGAATCAACTATCAAAAATTTGGGAGCTTGAAGAAATACCAATAACAAAGGTTTCTTCATTTGAAGATACCTATTGCGAAGAATTGTTTAATAATACAACTTCTCGCAACATGAATGGGAGATTTACTGTGTCAATTCCTCTAAGAGAGTCGCCAGATGCTCTAGGTGACTCATATAAATTAGCTGAAAAAAGATTTCTTAACAGTTGTGACAATAATATACCTGAAATAAAAACTTACATACTAAACGATAATACTACATTAAATACTACATTACATACTAAAACTACACACAGTAATGATTCAACTTCACTTGTAGATTTCTCTAAATATTCAAAGCTGACAACTTTACAGAGAGTGTTCGCTTATGTTAAACATTTTATATTTAATACAAGAAATCCACATGCAAAGATATTAGGACATTTAACTAGCAATGAATTGAATGATTCTCTCATGTTTTTAAGCCAACAATCTCAACAAGAATCATTCAACTCGGAGCTAAATCTCCTACGTAATAATAAAGGCTTACCTGTGAAATCTCATATTTTATCGCTAACTCCATTTCTAGACGAAAATGGCCTTATTCGTGTTGGTGGCCGAATCAAAAATTCTTCTGAAACATTCCAAAAGAAACATCCGATATTATTAGATTCTAATCATTTATTTACAAAATTACTTTTCAAAAATCAGCATCTAAAGTTACTACATGGTGGTCCTCAGCTGTTATTAAACAATATTAGAGACAGATTTTGGCCTATTAGAGGCAGAATACTAGCTAGAACTGTAAAACTTATGAAAGCTAAAACTATTAACCCACTTATGGGTAACTTACCTAAGTCACGAGTAACACCAAATGTTCCATTTGAAGTATGTGGGGTAGACTTTGCTGGCCCTTTTCAAATCACAGATCGCAAGGGTCGTGGTTGTCGTATTACTCAGTGCTATTTATGCTTATTTGTGTGCTTTTCAACAAAGGCACTACATTTAGAATTAGCTAGTGATCTAACTTCAGAGTGCTTTATTCAGCGTTTGAGGCGTTTTATCTCTCGCCGGGGGAAACCAAGCATTATCTATTCGGATAACGGCACAAATTTGTAGGTGCAAGCAAAGAAATAGGTAACTTTTTAAAAACGAATAGCAATTCCATTGGTTCGTACTCAGAAACTGAAGGCATTAAATTCAATTTCTCACCGGCTTACTCTCCGCACTTTGGGGGACTATGGGAAGCCGGCATTAAGTCGGCTAAATTTCATCTATCTAGAGTATTAGGTAACACACATATGACATTCGAAGAACTGTCAACATTATTCACTCAAATTGAGGCAATACTAAATTCACGGCCCCCCACAGCACTTTCATCCGATCCGAACGATTTAGAACCTTTAACTCCAGGGCACTTTTTGGTCGGAAGGGCACCGGTTGCACTACCATCTACTCCACTGCTTGAGATAAATCCCAACCGACTCAAGAGATATTAACATATTGAACAAATGCGTCAGCAATTCTGGTCGCGTTGGGTAAAGGAATTTTTAACGGAGCTGCAGCAAAGGTCAAAATGGAAAGTCAATCAAGATGGCCTTAAAGTAAACGATATGGTCGTTATAAAGGAGAAGAGTATTCCTCCAATGAAATGGCGCATGGGTCGCATCCAACAACTATTTCCTGGCGAAGATGGTATTTCGAGAGTAGCTGACGTTCTCACAACAAGAGGCGTATTTCGACGCGCTCTACACAATCTTTGCGCACTGCCAAAAGAAGAATCACCAAAGCCTAATACAACTTCCTCAGTTACAGCTTTGACATCACCGAAGGCGACGATACCTTCATCATTTCCAGCAGTGTCTACCACAGCTGCTATCACGCCGACAACGTCAACGGCAGTTTCTTTCCTCTCGCATTTCAACCTGCTCGATGGGGGGGAGAATGTTGCCGCCGAGTTACGCACGGGGTGAGGAGGCAGACGCGGGGGGAGCATGACGCAGACAGCGAGCGCGGCCGCAGCCTTCCCGCCAGACAGAAAACCGATACAACGCCGAGCGCACGTCGAGTGTGCTAATATTTTTTATTTTTATATACGTTTACAAATTTAACTGCCACGTTGCTGTAAAACATTTATCTTTCAAGATTAAAGAATATCAATCAAAACATGGAGTCAGATGTTTAAATTATTTCCCCAACAGGTACATAGACATAGGTGGTAACGTACGAACGTGTTAATTTCTTGTAAAATTTTGACGTTTCATAAGAACGCGCAAGCGTCTATGTGAATAAAGATATTTTATTATTCTTATTATTATTAAAACAATGGTTAATTTTTTTCATAGTTAAAACACTGTACCTAAAATATTGTATACAAAGGAGGCCTTTGCCAGCAGTGAGAACCTTTCGCGCTGGTGGTGGTCGTAGTGTGGGAGGACCCGACACTAGATGGAGTGACAACCTGTGCAAGTTTACGGAAAGTCGATAGATACAGGTGGCTCAGCATCATGCTTCGTGGCAGTCTGTGGCGGAGGTCTATGTTCAACAGTGGACTCAAACAGGCTGACATGATGTTGCTGATGATAGATAACGGATATCAACCATTAGCTGTTACTGATAATGCAACAGTTTTTACTGTACTTTTCGAAAAGTCACCAGAAAGGAATTCAATCGGACAGGTCTACTTCAATTGAATGAAATTGTCAAATTGTTGATAATTCCCCCAGAGAAAAACTTCAATTGAATGAAATTGTCAAATTGTTGATAATTCCCCCAGAGAAAAAGTTCCCGGTTGAATAAATTGGAATGTTAGACGAGGGGAAATCCGTTTATGCCGGCGTGGAACTCGAAGTTTCTGGAATAATTAGAAAATCTCATAGCGGACGTTGCATCTGGAAAACGGAGTGCGGGGATAAGTGCACTTAAATTGTCGCCTCCAAGATTGCAAACAAACAATGCCACTCTTCTCTATTTGTACTACAAATACAATTTTCTACCTCTCTTCCTTTGTGTAAACAGAATACTCGAGAAAGACTCGTGCATTCAATTACACTAAGAAATGTAATTGAATTGAAAATTTCTTTAGGCCACTATACACATATATTTGTGCCTAACACAAATCATATGTAAAAGTTTGTGAAGCTGAGAAGTTTTAACTTCTGACGAGCAAGTATAACGACTGACAGTTTTATTATGTTACCATCATTTAGTGTGCAGCTCGCTGCTTTAAAATGTAAGCAAAAAATAATAAAGAAAATAAAAGAACGCATTTAAAGTTATGACAAACAATACCTCGTTTAGAGAAGGTTTGTGATATCTGACAAATATCGTACATGCTTTACTCCTCAATATTGTATTAATATTCAACATAAGGAACACCTCTGACACCTATGATATACTATAAATTTTTTTATATAATTTTTAATTTACTACTGACTTTCTCAATGATCCTTAAACAACAATTTCGCTTACTCCACACGCTCACACTAGATGGATATTTTGTTTATACATCATGTTTTATATGATTAAGTAATCTACTGTGTATAAAACCAAATGGTTTCTCTTTCTATATTAATGGGAGGTTTATCGCGCCGGGATTCACCAAAATGTAAGCCACATTTCGGTGAATCCCGGCGCGGCCCATGAAAATTTGTTCGAAATTGCAGTACTCCGCACTCCGTTAGTAGCTTTTTAGGCGGCGAACGTAATTTCTGATCGCAAATCTGTAGAGCGATTAAGAAGTTAAACAGAATACGTGAGAGAATCGTATGTGCGGAACGACTGGAGCCTATAAAGTCGCTGAGCCAACAGATGTTGGCATCGCATTAACATTTATCAGTGCAATGCTCTGACATGAAAGGGATTAATTGAGTCAGTGTTAAGCGCAATTCCGTTCATCATTTAGAATGGTGCAGTATTATTGCCTTCCGTATACACCGCCATAGGCAGCATGATCTTTTAATTCCCCGATGCTCGTGCTGCACTTGCTCGACGTTTAGCTTAGTGGTTAAAGTATGTGTAAAATATTTAGATAAAATATGTTGACATTTTCGTCGTCGTGCAATCAGCCGTTTAGCTTAGTAGTTACAAGGTTACAAAATTCTAGGTGCGAAGGAAGGGTTCGATTCCCACAGCGGCGAAAAACTTGTCGTACATTCTTTTACAAATTTTAATGTTTTATCTATACGTTTTAAGTTTCATCTCATTTGCAAAGGATAGCACATAAATAAAAAAAATAATTATTATCACATACTTTTCGTGTAATAAGAGACGAAAAAAATAATTTAGTGATTATATATTTAACTTTTCAGTAAATTAATTTACTCCATAGAACCTGGAGATTTTCATTGTAGTTTTCAGCTATAAGAACGTCGGTGGTAATTAAATTTTAGTTGATAAAATACTAGTATAAAATAAACCATAAAAACATCGGTAGTTGGAGTGAGGTCGTAAGACTTTAAGTCAAACGATTTGAAACTACATTATATTTAAACAAAAACTAAAAATTTCACATTTGGCTCGTATCCAAACGAATGTCATTTGACTCCGTTGAAACTGTTTTATATTTTTTTATATTATGTTACTGAGTCGGGAAATTTTCTCTCGGCAGCTGCGTTTTACTGTGTTAATGGCATTAGCCCGCAGTGCAAATACTACGTTGTGAAAATGAATGAATTTCCAAAATTACGTGTCTTTTTATTTTCATTTTAATGTCTCTGACATATATCATATTAAAGCAATTAATTCAGCAGGCAATAATAATTAGGCTTATTTGTCTATCTTTTCCGTTAAAATTTTAACGGCATAAATAATATATATATTTTTATTAAATGTAACGATCTAAGAATTGATGGCTAAGGCTCATAAAATGTAATCTTAAAAAGTTAGTTTCTAAGTGTTAAGTGAATATTAAACAAAATACATCAGAGCCATACTTATGCATACTACTTCGACTTCTACTTTCATACTACGAACTTCTAGTACATATAAGGTAATTGATATAAGGTAGTTAATATAAGGTAATTTTGTCAATATTATTATTGATTTTCAAAGATCGTCTTACTGATTATCTTGGTTAAAAATAACTGTACTGCTAAAACGGAGACACTTAAATTATTTATGGCTTTTCATTAATACGAGACAATATAGAATTTATAAGTGTATGTTGCGTTCATAGCTGAAGTTCGAAATATTAACGAAGTGACCTGGTTTTGAATAAAAAGTATTCTTTGGCTTTTTTGAAAATTATGAACCTCGTAATGTATAAGTTGCTTTCAAAAGTTAACAGGGGAGTAGAAAACACTGGGATATTCCAATGCTAAAAAAAGCTTTTTAGAACTCCAGTCTGCCTTTGGGAGAACGTCAAAATTTTGTTTAACTCATTATCGCAATGTTTTTTCTATTGGTAGTAAAGCTTATCTCGATATAAAATAATCAAAGCAATATGTTTATTTTCAACGTCGTAAAATGCAAAGGGGTCTTAGAGGTATTAAAGAGATTAAATTAAAAAGAAAATAAAACTCTGATATTGACGATCATATGTTTACGAGCTGCCAATGGGGTGATATAGATTATATCATATAGTCTTCACTTACAAACCGGCTGCCTTGAAGACGATAAATTTTTCTAGTCTAATTGTCTAGTCCCAAACTAAGCAAAGCCTATATGGGTTGTAAGTAAATAATGAACATACTTAAACATACTTTTCTTTTGTAAATAAATACATTTTATAGATATATAAATACCCAGACACTAGAAAAACACTACGTTCATCACACAATTTTTTTTCCACTTGCGGGGATCGAAACCACGCCCTCTGGCGCAAGAGACAATGTCACTATCCACAGTTGAAATTCTGTTGACTTTCTGTTGATTGACTTCTGTTGCCGCTATAACAACACATACTAAAAACAGAATAAAAAAATATTGAGCGGGGCTCCCATAAACAGACATGATTTTTATGCCGTTTTTAAAGATACATGATTTTATAGTACGGACCCCTTCGAACCCTTCGTCCGACTCGCACTTGGCCGGTTTTTTGGTCTTAACAAACTTCGTTCACACATCATCGCATCGTCTATAATGCACATGAAAATTCTGTACGTCTCTGTACCATTCCTTTGCCGATATACCGTGTGTAAAGAGCAATTGTGTTTTCAGAGCGAGCAGTTGATGAATGTCGCCATGTGATCCAATTTATCTCTGTAAAGGTTATTTAAGTTACCTACAGTCACGTTACTCTTTGTAATTCTGTTTGCAGAATAACAAAAGTTTGCCAATTAGTGCCGTGCGCAGTGCGAGCGTTAATTAAAAATGAGCGCGCGTTCATGTTCCGTGCAATTTAATGGCGATATTTCGAGTGCGAGTATCTATTGGTACGTAAAAAACAAAGGCTCGTTTGTTCGCCGACGATTGTACGGCAGACTTTTGTTTCCAGAAACTAAGAACGTAAAGTTTTCACAACGATTCATGTTTACGCGAGTAGTATACGTTAAATAAAACTAATTGACGGATTTTTCGTGTTTAATTTCGATTTTGACATCCGATGAACACTTTACGGAATCCATGGGCATACTGCGATGTTTTACATCCTAATGACATTATTCTTTTTTAATTAAGGCGTATTTTGAGGTTATACTTCTGTAGGCACGTTATAAAAAATTGATGGGAGTGAAATTTTAAGTTGCGCGCGCATCACTGTAACACAAAAGTCACACCTTTGAGGCTGCCCGCTAAACCGCTTATTATAGATGGCAACATATTCTCAATCACATTCGCCCGTTACAGCTCTCAATAAAGAATGTACATGGCGCTTTCATAATTTTATTATTTTTTTTACTTACTAGCTGTGTCCCGCGACTTCGTCCGCGTGCGATTTAAAATAAATAAAATTTCTAAAATAAAAGTAGCCTTAGTTATTCCGTAAAACATCAGCTATCTGCCAGTCCCGTCAAAATCGGTCCAGTCGTTTCAGAGATTAGCCGGAACAAAGAGACA